CTATGTTCCTACAAATAAAAATATATCCTAAGACAAAAATGTTTTAAAGTGTGTTCCATGTGATAGTAATATAAATTATGTGAGAAAAGACTATTATTATCACATATACTCAAGAAATATTGCTTGTGTTTAAACAATGTTTCACTTCCAAAAAAAATCCATATAAAAGCTTTTATATACAGTTTTTCAGAACACACCAAAAAGCAAACCACAGCAAACTTGTAAAGAATTGTATGTCTGGTTTTGCTCTTAAAATTCAGCAAGAAAAAACTAGATTAAAGGGATTCAGGAAATCAACAGTTACAAGACAGAAAGAACATGCCTAAAAACATTACTGTCTGAAATGGACTTAAAAAAGAAATATTTCAATTTCTTTATTAAGGTGTTAGACATTCTGCTAAAGGCTACAAATACAGATACGACAGTTAATCCTTTGAGGGTCACAAGCCTTCTGACAATATGATGAAAGCTACAGACATCAGGAGAGGTGAAAATAAAACTAGGGCACAATATCAGTGTTCATTGATGTCAATGAGGCTAAAACTTGCACCTTTACAGAAAAACCTGAGGCCAGAGGATCCAACAGAACCCCAGGAGGAGAAGGGTATTAAGCAGGTGAACTGGGATTTGTTTAAGCATTCAGAACATCATTGATTAGTCATTAAATTGAATATATTCTTGTGACCTAAGCAATTCCTCTGCTCTTAATTGTGAATTCTCATGCTTGGTTTGAAAAAGCTTGCCTTTTAAATACTTCTGTATTCATACATTTTTAAAGATAATGAATTCTATAGGTTTTATTTTTAAAATGGGCTCTAAACCTGTGAAACTAGTGTAAAAGACAAAAAAAATTCAGCTATTTACTAAGACGATTCCTAAAGTAGGAACCATAGGAAGTCCTAGTATATCTCTCATTTCCTTCTTATCTAATTTCAAGATATTTCTAAAGGCTCACTGCTTATCTAATATCATGGAGAAATATTTTGTACTAAATAAAAAAAGTCTGTAGCTCCATCTGCTGACAAAATCCTAAAACTATCACTGAAAAATATTCCATGTGTTAAATGCAAAACTTTAATACGCAAATGTCTCACAAAATCAGATGTGAATAGTAGCAAAGATGCTTCCTGGTCTGTATCTTAATGTTGTCAATGATAAGGAAGCAGAGGAGAGAAAACCTTCTGCCTTTCAGCGCAGCAAACTGCTGAGTACAACTGCTGAGTCTCTACCAATTCAGAGATGATTATTCCCCTTCTCTGATGCTTAGAGTAAGGAAACTGGTCACAAATAAAAAACTTCTGAAATTTAATTTTGGACCAACATATTAAAAAGTGTGCAAGTTCACACTGATCATAAGAACAGATAATATATGAGTACTTCATGTACTTCTATTTTCATAAAAAATTCTCTTGTCCTTAGAGTGAAAGTAAACATTAATTTATGTCTTTAAAACAATTTAACTGGACAGAGGACTCAAGTGAATTTATACATCTCTAAGCTCACTCCAGTATTACTCTTGATTTAAAACAAAACAAAAATCCCTATCAAATTGTATTCTTAGGCTCACATTAAATATAAGAACTCTAAACTGGTTGCAAGCAAGGAAAGACATGAGAAACAGCCCTATAGTTATAACACTTAAAAGCTAAAAATTTATTTCTGTTGAGTGTTAAGGGTTTACTATTCAAAACGGCTGAACATTAAATGTACAATGGATTGAACGGAGTTCTCCCCAAACACATATATGTAACGAGACAATGTGAGAGCTATGCAACAATGCCCAAGATCTGATAGCTGTAAAAGGATCAAGGCTGAAATGTAACATCTTAATCTCACTGCAGAGCTCCACAGATGTAGGTAGTCTCCCTATCATACCCATTGTAAAACCTTGTATCTCTCAAACAATAAAAGTAAGAAAGTGATAAAGGAAGACCCTAAAAGCAAGGCCTATTGATAAGGAATTACACTTTCAACCCAAATCGAATCCACAAATTGATCTGTGGGAGAAAAAGGGACAATGTCCTGCTGTGCAATTTGCAGTATGAAAACCTTCAGAAGGGTCAGCTATGAGTTGGGTCAGGCTCCATGGCAATGACTTGGCTTGACTGCCACCAAAAAGAATAGCCAGAAATGGAGTACAGTCTGTGTGCTACCAAGTTCCTTGACACCAGAGTACCTGGAGATGTCCACAGAATGCTCAGTGGACAGTCACAAAAGAAAACAAGAGCCTTTTCCAGAACCAACAAAGAGAGACTTTCCCTTGAAGCTGGCACTCTAAATTTGGGCTTCTGATTACCTAACTGTTTGTTGAAATAATTTTCTGGTGTTATCTCTATTATAGGACACTAGACATCTAAGACAAGGGCAAGTCTTAAAATCTTTCACCAAACAAAAAAATAAATAAAATTGCATATATGTGTGCATACATTAAGAGGAATAAAACAGAAAAGTGCACATGGGTATTCATTACATTTGTCTTTTAATTTTCATGTAGGCTTAAAACATCATAAAACGTTTGTGAAGGAAGTAGGGGGGAATTAAGTCCTCTGGACTTCAGAGTTCCTACCAATGATGAGGCACAGATAAGTGCTGCAGCTGGTACTACTTGTAGACCTTCAAAAGTCTATGCTCCTTCCTGTTCCAAAATGTAGAGTGGTTGCTAGGTAAGGGCCATTCATAAAGGGAACAGGGCCTGGTGTCATTTGCCTCTAGGTGGAGTCACAGGACTATTTCTTCTTACTTTTTTTTTTTTCTTCTTACTTTGAAGTGTCTTAAAGTGGTTAAAAAGCTGCTGTTCCTCTTTTCTCACCCAAGTAGCTGGATAAAAAACAACCCTGAAGATCTACAGGAAGTTGAAGTCATAAGATGGAAAGCACTGTGTTCCTAAATGTCTTCTGGAATGTCCCCTTGTCCACACTGTGCGGTGCTGTGAGTGAGGCTGTATTGAGAATCTAGCAGTAGTCTATTTCAAGAGCTTGCATCGTACCAGATTTAATCAGTAGTGACCTAAAGACTAGAGGATCAAACCATCTAATAGCTCCAGAGAAGACATTACTGCTTCTGTAAATCAACTAATAAACTCCTATGCAGTGGTCATCCTTTGTGGCAGTTTATAGTGTGATCACGAGCAAGAATCAGCCAGGGATTCATCTTATTGTTGTTATTAGATTGACTCAGCATTCCAGTAAATAAAATGCCTTGCTTATGTCATACCCACTGCCACTGAGTCAATTCCAACTCAGTTATCCTCCACTGGACTTCTGAAGCTGTAAATCCTTACAAGGAGGAGAACGCTCATCTTTCTCTGTGGAGCTGCTAGGTGGATTTGAGACTATCTTGTTTTCATTCTCAAACATCTTAAAAATGTCATGCTGTTAACTTTTTGGACATTTTATTAACAATATTAAATCTAAAACTTGCTGTCATATTTACCTTGATTTAATAATAAACATACTATATGTATATTATGAAAAATGTTCAGATTCAATATCTTTAGATTTCATAATAAGCATATACCATAGGATTTTTTTTAAACACTTCATTGTATTGATGAAAAGAAAAAAAAAAGTAGTAATTTGGAGTAGCAAAATGAAAAGCACATCTCTATATTAATTAAAACCTTAGTGGATACCAGGGGGTTAACATTTACCCTACTGCAAGGATGAGAAGGGAGGGTGGAACAAGGAACCTTAAAGGAAATTAAGATTAATGGATAAAGAGCAAAATGGAAATAATGAGACATTAAGCAGATTATAAAAAAAGAAAATGTAACCAATGTCTCAGAACAATTTGTATATTAACTGTAAAATGGGACTCTAATTTGTTTTCTAAGTTTTCACCTGACATACACATATACACAAAGAGAGATACATTTCTAGACATCAGGAATGCATTCTGCTTAGACATTAGTATGCTTCACTTGTCTAATAAAAATCCAAACAGTGATGGATTCCACACTATATTAACAGGGTATCTCTCTGTATGTGTGTTTCCCCAGAATACCTGATAGTAACAACAAAAATAAGACAAAAAAAAAATCCCAGTTAAGATTATTTTTAAGTGTGGATATAAATAGTCCTGGCCTGTCTCTCTAAATAAATAACCTGACTATCTTGCTAGTTAAACTATAAAGTTAGAACTTTTTTGATACTTCTCATTTACACTTCCCCTTTCTCCCACTACCCTATTCTACTTCTCCATTCCTCTGGTGAAAGAACACCAGAGGTTTCTCCTAAATACTTAAATTTATGAAATCTTCAAAATCAAGTTAAATGTTTATGAAAAGAGATATTTTGATAGTTGTTGTTGTTAGGTGCCATCGAGGATGACTCATAGCAACCCTATGAACAAAAGATCTGAACCCAGTCATATCCTGCGCCATCTTCACACTTCCGGACAAACAAGAGCCCATTGCAGCAGTCACTGTGTCAGTCCACCTGGTTGAGGGTTTCTTCTACTTTGCCCACCCTCCACCCTTTCCAGCATCATGTCCTTCTCCAAAGAATAGGCCCTCCTAGCAACATGCCCAAAGTATGTGAGACAAAGCCTCATCATTCTTGCCTCCAAAGAACATCCAGGCTGCACCCTCTCCAGGACATACCTGTTTAAAAATTTATACTAAGGCTCAAGATTAAAAATTGAGCTAAGTCAACTCAGAAAACTTAAATAAGAATGTTGTTGTGTGCCATCAAATTTGAATCGACCCACTACTGACATTCCAGAGGGTTTGCAGAGGCAGTAATGCACATAAAAAAGAAATTGCTCAGGTGAAGGAAACGGGAAGGATCTTTTGTGAAAAACAGTGTATTCAAACTTTGTAAATAAATCAGAATAAAATTTTTAAAAAAAGAAGAAAGAAATTACTCATCCTTCTCCCACATAGCAGCTGGTAGATTCAAACTGATTGCCCCTAGGACTGCAACACAGCTTCTTGCCACTAGGCCACACCAGAGCTCTTTGGAATACAATGAGGATCTAAATCTAAAACAGCCATGACTTACTCTGTGTGGCCCTGAAAAACATTCACAGAATGGATTGAAGGATCTCTGAAATCCCAAAGACGGAAAGTTGTGTCCCGAGATGATGTGACCACAAGGCGCTGGTTGGGATGTGTACAGCAATGTGTTAATTCTTGATCATGTCCTATAATTAAACATTAAAAAAAGAATACTTAGAATAATAAGAATGCAAGATTATTTAATCACACATATACAAATACTTAATTGAAATAGAGTTCCATTACTAAAATTCAACATAAAAAGAAAATATAAAAATAATGTAGTAATTAATATGTGGAGGCTGAGTGGGACTAGTTTTTCCTCAGAATGCATAAGTCTTTTCAGTCAAGCATTTAAGGAGAACAAGAACAGAGGTACATAATCCATTTTCTAAGCCCAATAGTTAAAATATCAGGCAAAACACTTTTGTCTGACCATATGAATAATCTCAGTTAAACCACAATCTTTAAAGACTTAGCAAATACATAAGCCAATAAATTTTTAAAAACAACTATGGCAGGAGGAATTCTAAGATTTCCCAAGATCCTACTTCCTGGTATATATACTTTCTCTTAGCTTAGGCAGATTATGTGAGTATGAAATGTGGCCCTGCTAATCAGGTTATACTGTATGGTAAAGAACTTTACTAATAAAATTAAGGTTCCTAAATCAGTCACCTCTGAATTAATCAAAAGAAAGATTATCCTATGTGGGCCTGGCCTAAACCAGTGAGCTTTTTAAAAGATTCAGGCCTTTTCCAAAGTCAGACAGATTAAAAGAGGAGATATACTCTCTTCCCAACCAAGGAAAAAAGCAGTCATAAGTAAATAGGCCTGGGGGTGACCATGAAATACCTGAAGGCAGCTCCTAGACCCCAAGAGCAGTCACTGGCTAACATTACCCCTGGACAACACCTTGATCTCAGCCTGATGAGACCTTTAGAAGAGGACCAGCTAATCTGAACAGGAACTCTTGACTCATGGAAACACCAATATTAATTTGTATTGTTTTAAGCGATTAAATTTAAGGTAACTGTTAAAAACAATAGAAAATGAAAGCAACAACCATATTTCAAACATCTACATATTATCGGCTCTGATTTATCCCATAAAAATCATTTTTAAAAAGTACCTAGCAAGAGTTCAATTAATTAGAAGGATCTCTAACAATAAAACCTAAGAGTCTGAGTGAAAACCTAATAGTAAAAATAATACTGGCAAAGAAAAAAAAACCCCAACAATATAAGATAATAAAACATTAGCATGAAAGGAATAAAATAGACAACTTAAGTTCTTAAAGGAAAGTACCAGTCAGGGAATGAACAAGTTCGGATGTCTCTACATCATAGAGATTCGCTGTTCTGTCCCAGGAGGCTGTCACTGCCTGTTTCCCTCCAACCAACCAATCGGCTGCTATGACCACTCCTTGATGGCTTTTAAGAGATGTCAAGGGAACTCGAATGGTAGGGCAGTCACTGGAAACGTCCCCATCAATGTCAGGCTCATCTTTATCAGAAAACTCTACTTCATCTTCTCCAGATATTTGTTGCTAAATGCAAAGTAATAAGAAAGAAATTTCTGAGGATCTTGAGGTTATTTGACATGGCAACAAATTCAGATTGTTCTTATATATCTTCTAGGACGTATTCATCATTATGTCCAATACTGCCATAATTACTGGTACACAACTGGTGCTCAAAGAATGCTTACTAAATACATAATTATCTATTTGACTAAATCCCAGAGTTAAACAATAGAGGGGGAATAAAACCAAGGTCACTATGACATCAAATAATCTAGAATTAATTTTAGCTAACCAGCATATTGGCAAATAAGAGTAATATTTCAACATGTTGAGTTTTTATTCTCTATTAAAAAACTTTTAAAATACAGCAGTAAGTAAAACGATCATACTAAAAACTAGAATTTCTGAGAGTATTTAAAATATACATAGAACTTTATTGTTATAAGATATGAGAGTTTACTTTTTCCCTACATTATCAATGAAGCCTTTTGTCAAAAGCCAAAGATAAAATGAAAGCTCAATAGTCTTCTCAATTTAAGTTTTGATCATTTAAAGAACTATATGTATTTAGTTACAAGTAGTGTAACTTATGGCACATTCAAGTTAAAACAAATCACTTAAAACCATCCATTTTTCCTCCTTTTGTACATCTTGTTAGTAAAACACACTACATACAAAGATGTAGAGCATAATATGCTGTTGTAATCATATCTGTCAATATATATGTAATGTTTGCAAATCTCAATGATACAGACTGGATTTATGAAGATGATAATAAAAGGCAATAATAATGAGGGATAGAAAGAGGTATTCAACTTATGTCAGAACAGGCTGACATATGTCAGCAGAACACTGGAAGAACTATCATAACATTCTCTTATCCCAGGATAAGGTTTCTATAACCTTATCATAGGACTCTCTGGTCAGTAAATATTTACTAGTTGTTTAAATGTGTCAATCATTATACCAGGTTTTGGTTAAAGAATAAAGTGACATACTATATCTGCCTGAGATGTGTATATAGAAGATTATATATTTATTCCAGGTGATGGGAATACTGCAGTGAACAAAACTGACAAAATCTTTGCTTCAGTGGAATAATGTGTGTGTGTGTGTGTGTGTGTGTGTGTGTGTGTGTGTGTGTGTGTGCCGTCAAATCAGATCTGACTGGTACAGGAGGAAACCGTTCCTTCTTCCCCGGCAGAGCATCTGGTGGATTCGAACCATGTGCCTCTGGGATTGCAGTGCAGCTTCTTGCCACTAGGCCACCAGAGCTCCCCTTGCTTCAGTGGAATTTACAATATAGCAAGGAATACAGACAATACACACCACACACAGAGATAACATACATAGAATCAGGTGGTAACAGGTGTAAACAAAGTATATAGTCATGGCAAACTAAGACTATAGTGATGGGAACTTACAACGTTAGCTAAAAGTTGGCTTTTTTAGCCATTCCCTTTGTCCCCTCTGGTCTCCAGCTACCTTAACTGAAGACACACTGTCTTGCAAATCATCAACAGCTGTGGGACTAGGATAAGAGAGAGAGTGCTTCCCACACTGAATGGCAAGACTTGAGGAAAACTGAAGCAAGAGCCTGGTGAGAGCAAGATCCTGGTGGCAAGACTGGTGGTGGTGGTGGTGGTGGTGGTGAAGAGGCTATGGCACTGCTGTGGAGAAACATGCTGTTGTAAAGTGTAACTAAAAGAGCTCTGAGATAAAGGCCACAGTTAAAAAGTTTTGCTGTTCTTCCCAGGTGCTTGAAGGAGAAGCTGATTTATAACTGCTCTGAGGCAAACCTTGATGGATGATTTGAATTTAACTGCTGAACTAAAACCAGGACTTTTACTAATTAAGGATTTGTGTTTTGCTGTCCATCTAACTTGGGACTGCTGGAGTTGTAGTGTGAGATAATCTTTGCCTCTCCCACCTATTTTCTTAATGAACCCCACTCTTGGTACCAGAACTGTGAATAGAGTTTGTGAGTCAACAAAAAATGTTGCTAGTGTTTCTCTAGAGGCACCGTGGGACTGGCCTATGGGCTCTTTATCTGCTTTCTGCTCTATAGCAGTGAGGGATTGTGCTATTCTCACTGCTTCTGGCCCGTTCCAAGAAATGCTCATGGTCCTGTGCCCCTATGTCCCATTCTCTGTTCCTCAGACAGAACTGCTGTTTTATAGTGAATTATTGGAGGACTCTAATTATAATCTAGTCAGAACCTAAAAAAAGGGACTAAGACATGTAAATATTGAAGGAAACAGCATTTTAAGCTGAAAGAATAACAATTGCAAAGATCCTGACTCAGACTCACTGCTATCAATGAGAAATTGACTAAAAAATAAACCTCCCCACAGGTTTTCAGAGGTAGTATATCATACATCTTTCAAATATGATTTACAATTTAAATGGGCAGGAAATTGCCCATCTTTCTCCCATGCAGTAGCTGGCAGATTTATTTACCTTTGAGTTGGCAGGGTAACTCCTGACCCATGAGGCCACCAGAATTCCCTAGATCCTGAGAAGGGAGCATAATTGGCATGCTATAGAAACTTCGAAGGTGCCAATGTGCCTGAAGCACAGTAATGGTGGTGGTAGCTGGGGATGGTATGGAAGTAGTAGAAGATGAAGAAACAGATTTAGCTAATCTAAACTTAGTTAGCAGGTAAATGATTAACTACTAATATACAATCAGTTTTTCTTTCAGTATCATTAAAATTCAGTGTCACTGAGTTGATTTTTACACACAGCAACACCGTCGAGCAGAAAAGAACTGCACTATCGGGCTTTCAAGGCTATAAATCTTTACAAAAGTGGACTACCTTATCTTTTTCCCATCAAAAACTGGTGTCTTTAAACCACTCATCTTTTGACTGGCAGCTGAGGAAGCTGACTTAACCACAGACTTACCAGAACTCCCCATTAGTCACTCAAATTGCAAATTATTACTGTGGAGTTGGAGCTAACTCAAAAAAATGATCTACGTAACAAAAGACGTAGGTTTAGAAAGAATCGAGATGTTCTCTCTGGCTACTTTGCTTATCTTCGCTGAGAATGCTAATGTGTGAAAGTCATGGGGAAATGTGGGAGAATCGTTTGACTAGGGCAATGCAGTGTGACGGATCACTGACAGCCCAGGTACACTCTGTGGATGTAACAAAACAAGATCAGTTAGCATGAGTGCTTACTGATTAAACACAAAAAGAAAACAAGAGATGTGACCAGAGTTAGGATTTCTTCAGAGAGTTTACTGGAAAAATCAAACAAACATTTTTAATTGTCTTAACCATTCTGAATTACACTAAATGTTACAAAGAAAAAAATATGGTACGTCTCTTTGAAGAAGTGAATCTAAAGTGATATTGGAAGGATGAGAAGTTAGGGGATGATATGAGGAGGAGAAAACAAAGGAGAAAAAGTGTGGGCTTAGAAGGAAGAAAGAATTCAGTATCTACAGGGAAGTAAGAACAGTTCAGTTTAAGCCTAAATGTGAAGGAAAGGGATAAAAAAAAAGCTAGCAATAGAAAAGCAAAACAATGGGCAATCATCAATAGCAGAGGCCATGGGAAGTTATGATGTGGCAGTATTTCTATTTTGGGGGAAAAAAACGACTTCTGATCAAATGTGCAAAAGTGATTGGGAGAGAGCAACAAGATGAGAGACTGATTACTGGGCTAAAGAAGCAGTCTAGGCTAAAGATGACAAGGTTTTTTAATCAGAGAGTCACATAGAATTTGAGGTACTTTTAAGGTAATCAAGTTGTGATATATTAAAAGATAGACATATCTGGAACTATAAAAGAATATCCCATTTCTAAAAGTCCCAGTAATGAAGAATCATGTTTTACAAAGTGAAGCAAGCCTTTATCTAGATAAACTACATTTCTGTTGGATTGGGGGAGGTTCTTTTCTTCTTTACTGGCTGTAGAAGATCTAAGACCTGTGGCTACCAGACTGGCCACTCCCCTTGTAGATTGTTGAGACCAGCCAATCCTCTTGTAGAATGGTGAGATAGTCAATACCCTTGTGGATAGGCTAACTCTCCCTATTCATATACTCCCACCCATTTAGATAGTCAGGTCAGATGGCTAGGAAAAAATGTACCAAAAGATAAACTCCATAGGAATCCAAACTGTGTAAGCCTTCACTGAAAACCACAATAGTGTTTAAAAAACAAATAAAACTGTCATATTGATACTTTACTACATGCTTGTGTAAAACATCTCTGAATATTTGCTAACTAGAAGGTTCATGCACTAATTTAACGAAGGAATATTATAAAGTAACGTTTTTTTACTAGCTTATTTACAAAATTCAAATGCATTGTTTTCACACCAGATCATTCCCATTTCCCTTACCTCCTACCCTCAAATTATAC